GCTGATCAGCGAGAACTGGGTGGTCACCGCTGCCCACTGCGGTGTCAGGTAGGCACCGGCTCTGCCGCCCACCAGCCCGGGGCTGGGCATGGGCACGGGGTCCCCAGGGCCCCCCCATCCCTGTGCCCGGTGCTCAGTGCCTGCCCGTGCCCAGGACCACCGACACCGTGGTGGTGGGCGCGTACGACCAGACCTCGCCCACCCCTGACGAGCAGAGGCTGACCATCGAGAAGGTACCGCCAGCGCGGGGGCCGTGTGCCTGCGGGGTCCCACGGACACCACGGGGAGCCCTGCGGGTCCGGGTGCCCCTTGTCCTGGGGCTCAGGTCCCCAGGGGGTCCCTGGTCCCCTTAGCCTGAGGGTCAGGACCCCTGGGGTGTCCATGGTGCCCCGCACCCCTGGGCTTGGGTCCCCTGGGGTGTCCCTGCTCCCCCAGTGCCCCTGGGCTCGCGGCTGCCCTGCGGGGCCCTGAGCAGCCCCCAGGGTCCCCGGCCAGCAGCAGCCCCGGGTGGGACATGGGCTCGTTGGTGGCCCCGTTGTCCTGAGCACTGGGGTCTGGCGCCTGCTCCCTGCTCCCTGGCACCCATTGGTGCCTGGGGTTGTCACCTGCTCCCTGGGAGCGCCTCAGCTGGGGATTTGGGGTTGGCCCCCCGCCCCCAGGGTCCCCCTGAGTCCCTCTTGCTGTCCTTGGTCCCTGGGGTGTCCCCGTTGCCCAGCGCCCCAGGGGCTGGGGTCTGCTCCCCGGGTCCCCATCAGCCCAGGGTTGGGGGTCTGCTCCCTGCTGGTGTCCCTGGTCCCTAGGGGGTGTCCCTGGGGGGTCCCTGGGATGTGCCTGCCACCCCTCTGTCCCCAGACTGGGAACTGCTCTCTGGGTCCCTTTCAGCCCAGCACTTGGGGTCTGCTCCCTGGGGTCCTCGTGGGTCCCTGCCACGTCCCTGCTGCCCTGTGCCCCAAGGGCTGGGATCTGCACCCCAGGGACCCTGTCAGCCCGGGACCCACGGGGCCATGCCCCGGGATCCCCTCAGTCCCGGGGGACCCCGTCGGTCCCCGTCAGTCCCGGGGGACCCCGTCGGTCCCCGTCAGTCCCCGGGGTCCCTGTTGGTCCCCGTGGAGTCCTCAGTGCCCGGCGCCCTGGCCGGGGGTGCGGGTGCTGGGAGCGGTGCCGCCTGCTCCAGGTCTTCAAGAACCCCAGGTTCAACATGCTGACCATCCGCGATGACATCACCCTGCTCAAACTGGCCACTCCGGCGCGGCTGTCGGCCCGCGTGTCCCCCGTCTGCCTGCCCCAGCCCACCGACGACTTCCCGGGGGGCATGACCTGCGTCACCACCGGCTGGGGGCTCACTGACCCCAACGGTACCGCACCTTCCTCTCCCCGTTCCTATACCCGTCCCCGTCCCCGGGGCACCCGGGGCACC